GGCGATAATATGGCGCCGTTGGATTCTCAGGTCGATACTAGGGCATTAGCAAGACAGTCTTCCTTGATCTTCCGGTGCCTGACACACAAATTGAATTCCTGCTCCTTGCATCTCAGTTGTTGATTACCAAGCATGTGAGCGCGGCAAGGGATTCGTCAGTCGCTTGTTTTCGAGTGCATGTTCCCGAAAATAAACCTTCTTTGTTCTCGTAGTATGCCTGACATGAACCACGGTATTGTTCAGAACCGCTGTGTCCTCTCCTGTCCCTGTCCTTCCTCGTGTCAGATGACAAAAGAACGCCGGTAATGCAAGGAGTCGACGCGCCTATGCGGCACGACGCAGCCTCTTGAGGTCGTACCCAGGGGCTAGACGAGTTCGAGGTGACGAGGTTCCAGAAAGCTTGCCTGCTCGCCAAACATCCAAGACGCATGGGAACAATGCGACTTCCCGATCCTACAACACCATCATGTATTCAAAAAGACCCGTTATGCCACCCAGATATGACTTGGCGATCCATGCCTCTCTCATCCTCGAGATCTTAGGTGTCTATCAGCAGTTATTGACCATCACACTCGTTCACCAACGTTCACTCGCAAATCGTCATTCAACTCCAAAAAGGATGTCTCGCTACCTCCTCCCAGTTCTGGCAGCTACAGCGGTCCTAGCCAAGACGGACCTCACGGGCTGCACCTCTCTCACATACACCTACCCAGGACCCTCTGGCGACTCCATCAAGACAGTCGTCCACTACGTCCCCGAAACCCACGAAATCTGCACCCCGCTCGACTGCGGAGGTACGGACCCGGCGTCCGGCAAGAAAATCCCGGGCTGCCCTGGCTACTCCGGTACCGAGACCATCAACAAGAGCTTCTTCTCCAGCTGCGCAACCGTCGAACCGCCCACAATCACGGTCACCCAGACCCTTGCGACCCCCGGATCGAATAGCGGAGTAGGCAGCACGACGGTGACGGTCACGCCCCCTACCACGACGAGCACCATTATCAAAACCGTTACTACGTCGGTGACGTCGCCATTGTCGTCGCTGACGCCGTCGGTGGTCACGACTAGGACGGGCGTCGCCGGTAGCACCTTGATTACGTCGACGGAGGGTGAGGCTGTGCCGACTGGGACGGGAAGCGGAGCGGAGCCTTCGTCGAGTACGGTTCCGGCGGGGGCGGGGTCGACCGTTCGGGCGGGGATGGCGGCAGTTCTCGGTGTCGCTGTGGCTGTTGTCGTGTTCGCTTGAGAGAGATACCAATCGCCTCGCATACTTTCATTTAGAAGGGGGGAAATCGTTGTCAGGAATATTGTGTTGGTGGTCCTGAGGATTTCGACAATGATGGGTTGGAAGTGCAATTGTTCTATGCTCAACGCAAACAGTTGGGAAAACGTTTTCTCAACCGTCATGACATATACGTTTGAACCATCAAGTGTCAAGACGCATTTTTGCAAGCTACCCTTGGTCAGTCTGGCCACAGAGAAGAAACAGATTGAACATTTGGCTGCTCTCAAATGCCAAGCTTCCAACTTCAGTGTGAAATGTCCTCGTTTTGACTGTCGGCAAAGTTTGTGCGATCTGTATAAGGTCAGGCATGGATATCCTGTACGTAGTAATGTGCATGGCTTTCGACGTTTTATGAAGATGGGAATTAAGGAAGAGATTAGTTCAATACGTCATATGTAGTTTCTCATCCAAAGATCAAAGAGTCGTATGTCTTCAACAACATTTCTCTCTATCTCTCTCTCTCTCTCTCTCTCTCTCTCTCTCTCTCTCTCTCTCTCTCTCTCTCTCTCTCTCTCTCTCTCTCTCTCTCTCTCTTCCTCTCTCTCTCTCTTCCTCTCTCTCTCTCTTCTTCTCTCTCTCTCTTCCTCTCACTTACACACACACAAATAGACGATCTCGACCGAATTTTGGGATGAACGAAAGAGGCACTTACTCCTCTGCTGATATGTGACAGTACCAGAGCCCTTGGCTAGAGCTCGCCCCTGCAGCCGATAATAATCAAAAATCCTATCTTCGGGCACGGCTTCTCTAAGTAGAAGACTTATGGCAGAACTGTGTAGCGCATCGGCCTGTCTTTGTGGTGGCCAGGAGCGAGTCATTGAACGATCTCACACCGCCACTTGAACTCAACCGATCGAGCCATGTATTCGAAGCAGTGCATATGCATTATTCAATGTTGTTTGCAGGTATTCTCAATATCAAAGGGGAGCAAGGCTGCTTCACACGTTCACTTGTTGATTCGGTAACCTCATTTTGCCCGAAACTCCGAACAACCAAGTCCATATTGTAAACCAGGCCTCGGTCATTGCCCATCACGTAGATTTAATGCCGAAGGAGAAAGTACATGCGTTGGAGGGACGAAAATAGTACAAACTCTTTACCACAGTCATGCGATTAGTACTTGTATTCAGCTCGTGGACCATGTCCAAGTCCTTGCTGATCTTTGATGCAAAAGCTCGAAGCCATGACTTCACCCATTCAATTGTACTCGCATCTACTTATTTCAGGCCAGCCTGAGAGGTTCAACCTTCCTCAGCAACATTGCAAGTATTGGAGAGACTGGATATGAGCACGGGTTGCTTTGCTAATTCCCCGGAATATTGATATATCCCCGAAGGTTTGTGCTTGTTCTGGAACGTTTCCTCATGTATCAGACTCAGTCGCATCTCCATGCCTCAATGTGCTTGTCCCCGCATTCTGCCAAAGTGTTTCCAGCTTCGTAATACATAGCAATACGAGATGAACACTCAGCTTGAATTAGTACAGTCAAGCACTCGACTAGGGATTCTCGCTCCTCGAAAGACCTTCGGGTTCTGGCACTGCCTCACGCAGCAAACACACTTCGCATGCGGTGGTTCGACAGCTGTTACTTGCATAAGGACCCCTTTTTCTTAGACCTGGCCTAGTCAACCTTTTGTTCGCTGGGCTGACGGCTTGGATTCATGCAGGCCTCCAAGCACGTTGCCGAGTGAATTAGACTTTCGGCTTGGTGGAGGGGGCATAAATCACGGATCAGACGAAAAACCGAGACCGTCTCGTCAAAACCCGCCGGCCCGTCCTCCGCCGCCGTGGCAGCGACTGTACCCCACACTGGCCTGACCCCCGGTTCCCGGCTCCGCCTTGGTTTCACTTCCTGGGTTGAAGCATTCACGATACGGCATACACGCGGTTGGTTTACCATGCAACATACCTAGTGGGCACCGCCAATCAGCTGTTGGACCCTGAGAGCCGTCCCTAGTTGCCGGTGGTATTATCCGCGACGAGAGGGGGTTCGAGGTTAGCTGATCTGGGGTCGGTCGGCGACGTACTGGTGGCTCTCGGCTTTTGCCAAGGGGGGGGGCTTCTAAGACGCAACTCGTCTGACGGCGCCTGGCTGCTGTCATGCCGCACCGCCGGGATTTCCGGGTGCAGGATGCGGTCTGTGTCGGGGTCGATGGTTAACTGACTACTGTCTTGATTCAGCAAGGTCTTTGATACATGAATGAACCCCTCTCGAAAGTCATAAAAACCTCGTGTTGACCGCATCCATCAACCGACGTCAAGCTAGCACAGAATCAATATTTCATCGAAACAAAAGACAACCATATCACCGTAGACCGGTTAGCGCCAAAACACACCACGAAATCAATTCCATCGTCTCTACTAGCCCCGAACATAAAAACAGCCAAAATGCCTTTCCTCGTTGTCGTCACCCCTAACATTCCTGCCGACAAGAAGGATGAGTTCCTCGGAGCATGGCCGCAGGTCAAGGAAGATATTGCGAAGCAGTCAGGCGTTATTGGAGTAGCTGGTGGACATGTCATCAACGAAAACGGAACACCTGTGACAGACTTCAAATTTTTGCAAACGATAAGTGAGATCCTCCTCTGAAGTCAAGTTATTTGGCAGTACCTAAATCTCTTCGTAGCTTTCGAGTCCGCGGCAGATGACAAGGCGTTTGCCGATTCGGCGTGGATCAAAGAGCGTGAAGAGCAGTTCAAGGCTAGTCCCGGCGGCGAGCCTCGAGTCAAAAAGTTCGAGACTGGTCCGCTTCCCGGTGAAAAGCCCAAGACATTTACTCAGTTCTGCTTCATTGATGTTGCCGACGAGAGTAAGCATGAGGAAGCGAAGCAGGCCTGGATGGACCTAGTTGCTTCCCTCGGCCAGACCGTCCACTTTGGAGGAAAGAGTGTCGATGGAGGTCAGTCAACTGGCTTGGGTATCTTGGGATGGGACAGTGATGAGGTAAGCCTTCCATCTGATTGCTACGGTCTTAGGTTACATGTGTTCACTGCTAACACCTGCGCCAGGAAGCAAAGGCTGCTTGGACCAAGCCGGAGGCACAGGCGGCGCTGCAAAAGTACCAAAGTTTTGGAAAGAGCATTGGCGTCATGGTAAAGCTGGATGTATAGATCAGGCATTCCTGACATATGGTAACCTTCAAAGCTGAAGTATCATTATTACGAAATGTGGGAAGACTCTGCTTGTGCTCTGATATGTCAATGTTTGAGTTAATACCATGTACCTTAGTATAAGGTACTAGTGTATTGATCATATCACACAAGCAGAACTTTAGTGCAATTGCAACGTCAGCTTTTGACTTTCAGTAGACAATTTCACTGCACTAATCATCCTAAAGCGTGTGGGAAGAGTAAGATCATTGTCAATATCGAGATGTGTTCCAATGTGGTTGAACAATTAATTTTCCCTTCTAGCAAATTCGTGGTAGAAAGGTGGCAGCTCCCCTATCCCTCTTCACTGCACGTACTTGACCACAGCGTTTGTGTAGAATATGTCATCATAAATGCCTCAAGCCCGTTCAAGACTAAATTGAATTTGATAATTATGCTTCATCATCTTGTCATATTATTCTCATCAGGAGGATAACTGGCCCACGGCCGGTCAAGATACTGAGTAAGTACATGGTGGCGAAAGCGGTTCGGACATTTACAGCCCTATATTACGACGCAAAGCTTCGATGCTATATGAGTAGGTAGTTGAAGCGAGCAATTGATCATCAGCCAGCCTCTTTTGCAGCAGACCCCAACAAATCGTCTCCCCAGTTTGGAAACGCTTCCTGATGACAATTGCGTATGCGGTCTTCAACTTTCTCTGTAATTATTTCCCTCCAATCCATGCCCGTCTCCCACGCTTTGTTGCAAGACCCACGCCGAAGGAGCCGGCGATCATGAACGATGCCCCAGATCACCGTTTCCAGGTAGGGAAATTCCACATTTGCCATAGCCTTAGCTAAAGACCTTAGGTTCTCCTCTCCATAGTTACCCCAGCCATCAATATGAAGCTGCCGTAAGCATTGAGGCAAAAAGTTCGGTAGAAGCTGCAAGTCCGCCTCCATTTCTTGTATCGTGCCTCCGTCCCTCCGATGCGGCCAGATCATATAGCCATCAAGGTTGATGGATTCGAGAGCCTTGAAACCGGCCAGAGAGGTCATTGAGTATGGCCGGCTTGGATCCGTTCGCAAATCATCACTTGCAATGCTCTCCCCAAACCGATTGATCACAGTGAGATGTTGAAGAGTCTCCTGGTGATTATGGAGGGCGTCTTGGATCTCTCTGGGCGTGGGAGAGTGCAAGTTGCTGGTCAAGTAGCTGAAATGTGTCAGGGACGGTAGGCGATCCATTAATTTAGGCAACATTTCCTTCCAAGACCCTTCCATGCGGAGGTGCAGCCACCTGAGCAATGGCAACTTCGGAAGACCCTCCAGCCCTCCAGCAGAACATGACAACACCTCGAGATTCGGTGCACTGTCTATGAGTAGTCGTTCAATGGGATCAGGAACCGGGTGACAAAGATTCTCATCTTTATGGTTGTCCTCAAGACACGTGTCGTCGCTATGTCTCTCAGTCTCCAGCTCCATGTGTCGTACCTGGCCCAGCAGTATTTTTGACTCATTTAGTTTGGGCCTCCATTTATTGATCCATTTTCTCAACGGGTAAAAGATCCACCAACGTGGTACGCACAAGCTGACGTTCTGGAGATTCGGCGTCATAATCAATAAGAATTGGATTAGAATCTCAGGGAGAAGATCGTGGTCCAAGCCGGTGGGATTGATATCTAGACCTGTTTTTTTCGATAATCGCGTAACTTGACTGATCTCTTCCTGAGTTGCACATTCTAACGAAGGTGAACAGATAATACATTTCTCTTCAAATGCATTGATATCGATGGACTTGAGGCAAGAAGAAAGATGGGCGTCTTCGTTGATCGTTTTCAGTAACTGGAACAACCGAGGTATCAAGTTTGTTTCTTCGCTTGTCCAGTTCATGGTGCTCATGGTGCAGTGGTGTAAGAAAACGTGAAAAAGAATTGGCTGAGCAATTTGGCGTAGTGACCGTGATGTGAGGCATAGATTGCGTAGTCCAAGCCGTTCTCCGTCGTCTTCTGTCAAGCTGACGGCGGCGCTCGGCTCGTCGAGCTGCATTTTGTGCTGTCGACAATGACAGCAGAGTGAGGTGCAAATCTGGTCGAGAATCTCGACTGGTAGATCTGTGAGGGAAGCCATTGAGATGGTTTGTATTTTCGCCACAAGTGAATTGGGAATTGAGCAGATTGAAAAAAAGGACTTGTTCTTGATATGAATCTTGATACTGGAGCGGTGTTTTGGGTGCTATCACCACCGTCCAGATGGTTGTCGTTGTCGTTGTTGTTGCTGTGACCACAAAAGTGGCGTGATAATTTCCACCTCGTTCAGGCAGATTTCGTTGAGGTTGGAAGTTTGGAAATTCTTGGCATGTTGGTGACTCATACATGACTGTTGAAATCAAATAGCCAACGCTGCTCATAAAAGGCTCTTTTGTTTAGCCGAGGCTCGCTTGAAGCCCCTGCAAATTGAACCTCTTCTAATGTTGGTATCGATGTTGGCCCTCATCAGCGACGGCAATCCCATCCCGTTTACCTTGCTCTCCCTGCCAACCTAACTCTAGAAAGTTGGGCGGCTAACAACCCGGCAAGCTCACCGATAGCGTTGACATAGCTGAAGGAGAGCAAGACTGATTGTACGGCAAATGACATGGGGAAGAAATGTTTCGGTCGAGCATAAGCTTGTTCGAAAAACAAGACCTCTAAGCCGCTGCGATTAGGGACGTAGCTTGCAAGCTCCACGTACATGCTTAGCCCTGCCAGAGCCATCAATATTCCGATTGTTCAGCAGATAAAGGCAAGGCTGACATAACCGGTGCCGTTCAGGATCGATGCAGCTATGCTAAGTCGTCAGTTCATGTTACAGTGAGTCATTGAATCTGATGCAGCATGTGAAGCGGACGAGTCGAAGACATTCTGGTGCCAATCATCTGGTTGACTTTAAGAAATATCACCGTAAGTGCACTCTATGTGATAACCTGATGGCGACTGCTTCTAAACTGGTGTTTCTACTGCCTTCTGGTAAGCGGCCTTCGACCCGTTGCCTCCCTTTGCAAGCGTATGGGCAAGATCTCCATCCCGTTCAATGGAGTGTCCCGAGTCTCAAGCCTCTAAGTCGGGCTGTCAATCGCCCACAAGGCTTTATGTCAACTCTATCAAAGAAATAATAGTAGCAGCATTTGCGGTGAAGAAGAAAATCCAACCAAAACTTGGGGCTTCCAGGCTGTTATCCTTGGTTTATTGTTGTGCGGTTTATTACTTGAATTCTTCCTCCTTCGGTTGCAATACTAGTTTCAAAGGTATGCGATGCTCTCAGGAATAGCATCAAATATCCCGGAGACCCAGGCCTGCCTTTCTTATGGCTTGTGCTTTATTGCTGTTCACAAAGTGTTACGATAGCCCTCCTATGTCAGCAAGCAGCACACAATGCTGACTGGCTATCGCGAACAATGCTGCAGTCCTCATCACATCTGGGATGGATTGCAGGGGGTATAGCTATGAGGAAGATAGCCAACTAGGTATGATTGAAAATGTACCTCTGCTTTTTTGCTCGTGAATAGGCCTCTCGCTGTTCCGGGAACCAATTCTTACTCTCCATCCTGGCACGTCCTTTGCCCAAGCCCCAGCCAACACCGGGCCGACCATATTTTTCCGGGATCCCATTTTCATAAATTTAGGATGCACCTCTAGAGAAATAGCAATTCATTGGTTGGGCCGATTTGGAAGCGTTGAGTTCATGGGCGCGTTGCCCAGATGCGACTTCCAGAAGCCAAAGCGGCATACATTCTTGACAGCCTAGACTGAGCTACGGATAACTGATTTATGACCTTCCCTTACTCTTGTTTCCTTCGCTACGGATGAATGGCTCTAGAGGGAATATCTGAGCTTCTGGAGTAATGCCATCGTACAATTGAGCCCATCTTTCTTTCAATGGCTCTGGCGTCTCCCAGCCATACTCTGGATCGCGCAACCACTGTCGTAGCAGATGACGCCTATGGCAGTTGAAAATCAACCAGTCAACACGATACCCTTCTTGAATCCACCAGTAAATAGTGGAGGCATGAACTTACTGTTGCTCTTGAGTATCGGTGAAGCCATCACGAGCATGGAAGATACCCATGTTATTGGCGTACTGAATGTCGCCTTTTTGGAAATCCAGGTTGACGGCAAACTTTTCACCAAGATAATGAAGAGTATCAAGTGCTTCCGCTTGTGCCTCGGAGATCGGTGGGATCTCGTCACTTCGGGGAAGCGCACCGTAACCGACAAAGTATCGACGAGCGTATTGTACAGCTAAGCGCTCAGGCGTCTTTGAAGTCGCAGGTTGGTAGTGCACCAGAGGTCGGGAAGTGAAAGACTTCTCGGGCTTGCCGAAACTAGCAATGATACACATCGTTAGCCGATACTCATCTCGTTACATCAATCCATTCTCGTTAGTATGCAGCTACTTACACCTCAAACTGCCAGTCTTGCGTGAGGGTGTGGATGAGATCAGGACGCGTACTAGCGATCTCATTGTAAACCCTCGCAATGCTTGCCAATTTGCTCGTGCCGCCCTCCGCAGCAGTGGAGAGAGCAAACAGAGAGACAATGTCTCCGGCATCCGTATGAAATACTTGCTTGTCCGCAGTGTAGGCAGGACTGCCAATCTGGCCCTTGTCCTTCGTCAAAGTCAAGTCTTTGATATGAGTGAGAACTACATCGGCTGGCTTCCCGTCGTATTGCCTGTCCTGGCGACCTCGTTGAGGTGCGATATGTGAAGACAAGCCTGCGTAAATGATGATGTTATCTTCTCTTGTGTGCTCATCCACACGAAGGCCGCGGATGACGAAGAATCCGTGCCCATTGTGCAACTCGTATGAGAGCTTTCGAAGCTCGGGATGAAGCTTGGGCAGGGGAAAGTTTTCCTGATTGATGTGGCCAAGCGGCAGATTCAGCGCTTCGTGGATAGATCAGCTCTAGGTTGCTATCTTGCGGGTTGCATGTGAGGTAATCCATCATACCTCTGAAGTGAGAGAGCGCTGCGTCAAGTTCGTCAAGCTGTTCTGTTGTGAGGGCATATGTCCAATCATACTCGTTGGCTAGTGTTGCTCCCTCCCAGACAATATCGCTCGTGAACTTCTGCGGAAGACCCTCAGGCAGGTGTTTGGGAAGACCAGGCTCCTGAACTCGGCGGGCAGTCCGAGCCTGAAATTTCTGATAGTCTGGGGCATACTGGATGTCCGGCTGCACTGGACGGGTCAAAGTGACGGTGGCCATAGTGGTATACAAGGTGTGCCAGATTTCTTCTGCGACGGCTGAAAGCACAGAAACTCTGCCCTATCTGAAGATGCTGCTCAATCGGCTGGTCAACGCTGAGTTAGTTCGTTAGCTCTGGTGAGATTGAGCCTCTTACCTTATGCCTAGACAGCAGATATCAAGACCGCTGGCTGTTCCGGTTTCGCTGCGGTGATGGCGACATTGCTCTCCCCAATGTCGTGCCGCGGAGAAAGTGGAGTAATCAATGCTTGTTGAAATGGCTCACGAATAGCCGATCGTCTGATGACCACCACTATCGCCCCTCACGTGAAAGTATAGGAACACTCGAAGTAGTGGATTCCTATTACCTATTCCCGTAGACATGCATGACTTTTCATTAACAATAAGACATATACAGTTGCGTACAGGCGTTGGGGCCTAGAGAATAGTATACCTCAATTCAGATTGATTACTGCTGCCTATAAACGATAGTACCTACTCCGATGACACAAGAGGATTCGCTGTCAAATACTTGGTACACAAAGGGCCGCAATTTCACTTTGACTTTGCATTGTTGTTCCTCCTCCACTCCTCGCCCATTTCCTTCACCTCCCTGTTCGCCTTCAGAATTTGATCGCGGGCCCCCAGCCAAGCCTTCCGGCCCCGCCCCGTCTCGAAAAGCCGGTAGACCGCCGGTGAATCGGCACCGTCCATGAGCAAGTTGTAGAACTTTCGGTCGCTCCACCAAAGCTTCCAAGCCTCCATACTGAAACAGCCAACCCTCTCCGTTACCCCGGTTCCTGCAACTTTGTTCAACCATGTGTAGGTGTCGCTGCCGAACATCCTAAACCCCAGGTGGGGTAGCGGCCCGCGTCCAAGGGTATCCACAACGGTGTCGTAGTGTCTGTTGATGTCTTTTGTCATCAAGTCGGGGGAGGGAAGAGGGACTTTTCCGCTCCAGAGGCTAGCGAGCGCCATCGTGACGAGGTCATTGAACACAAATGGCGCCTTCAGGATGAAGAAGTGGCCGATGAACGCAAGTGATTCAGGATACTCCTCTGACAGAAACCCTCGATACAAGCGAGCGAATTGGACATGAGGGTCCTTGAATCGAGTTGCGTTGATGCGCTCAAAATGATCGGGAGCTTTTGCAGGGTCGGTAGGGTCACCCGGGCCTTTGATGACCGAGAAATCGTACTCATATCCCGTGCAGATGATTATGGCATCAATATCGTCTAGAACTGTACCATCTGTGAAAGTGACCGACTTGGGCCCAGTAACTCCCTTCACCCCAGGAACAGTACGAGTGATACCGTCCCTCAAGTTCTCAGCGAGGTCATTTGATAGAACCGGAATCCGATGCTCTGCGCTTGCGAGAACCCGGGGAGCCACAAACGACGGATGTTTGCTGAGCCAGGGATATGCTTTCCTTCGGGCGCTATCCAAAGCGTTTGTGAAGAACATGGCGCAAGCCCTAGGCCACCAATCACCTAGACTTCGGAAGATTGTGAGGGCACGGCGCGTCATGCTGTGGTCAAAAGCGTTACCCCGGACCATTTTTGGGACCTGTGATCGCATTCAGAACCATACCCTTACAAGCTAGAATCACATTCGAGAGTCCGGCAACTTACCAGATAGAACTGCTGACGATGACTGATTGTGATTGAGCGAGCGTTTGCCTTCTTGAGAAACGACTGCGTGTCAGCACTTGTAGCCCCAATCCCGATAAGCAAAACATTTTTGCCCGAGTATCTGTATGGGTCCTTGAATTCAATAGAGTGCTTGGCCTCTCCCTCGAACTTTTCAATGCCTTTGATATCTGGCATCATTGGAGTGTTGACGATTCCAGTGGCCAGCACAACTCGATCGAACACATGCTTCTGAAGGCCAGTCTCCATGCCTGGGAGTGTGTTATGCGTATGTATGACCCATTTCCCGTTGACATCATCTCGTTCTACTTTGCTGACTTTGGTGGAGAACTTGATATGAGGCAGAAGGTCAAATTCCTTTGCGTAAGCTTCGAGGTATCGTTCAATACTTTTCGCTGTGGGGTGTGTTGCATCATCTAAAGCCACATGGCAACGTTAGCAACGATCATACCCATGCGGTGTAGGTGAAGTATTTTACCATCCGCGAAGGGGAAGTCTGTGATGTGCGCCTAATATTTGCATGAGTATCTGACGTCACTAATGCAGAAAAGTCAAGCCTTGCTCACCATCTGTTTTGAGGTGTTGAAAGATGTCATTGGAAGTGCGGTGACTTGATCTGGTCTGGGTGAGAAGTGCCATAGCCCACCGAGGTGATCATTTTGCTCAAACGCGGTTACTTCTAGGTCTTGCTCCTTGAGGTTCTTTATTGCGAGAAGTCCCAATGCCCCGGTGCCGACAACCCCGACGTGGCCACCCACGGGCTTCGAGTCGTCGTTCGCCATGTGGAGGAGAGAAAGGTCTTTCGTGATGCTGAGGAGGAAAAGCGGAAATGTCTCCAATTGTGTTCCCCAAATGCTTCCAATTTACAGAGTGCAGGTAGGAAGGGCACATCCTCTTATTAGGTTAAAATATCGCCTACCTTTGCAAGCTATGAGAGATACTTAATGCCACGCTAACCCGGCGGAGACATTTAATCTGACATCAGCACAGCCCGGTGAGATTTACCCGTCGTTGATTGGGGATCTTCACCAAGCGGAGGATTGAGAAGGAATCCACCCACCTCAGGAGATCCCAACGTGCAAATCAGCTCTACTCCCTGGCCTGAGCTGCCCAGCTGGAGCTACAAGGTATAGGAAAGTGATGGGAGACCAGTGCGCCACGGGTTTTAGTGCAGTGCAAGTAGGATTTCCGTCCATTATCGTGTAGGTAGGGTGTGCCATGATCATTGGCGTTATGCCTAGAGCATCGGTAAAGCTTTGTCCAAATGGCATCCAATAAATGACCAAGTCCCAAAGTGGATCCAAGCTAGCTTGACGTTTGCCATGTTCCGCATACTTGCTGTTTCTCAGTACCTATGTTGCAACAGTTGGAGAGAGCAGATTCTGCCAAACTCGGTGTAGACACTCCATAGACGACTGATGAAGCCAGGCCCTTCACGACATTGGTAAAACACTTGTCGACTTCAGGTCGGGCAGTGGACAAAATCAGAAGCATTTGGGGAATGCTTTCCTCTATCGACGTCATGACGAGAACTCTTTAGGGAGGCTTGCAGTCAGCCGGTTGCAGCTTGGGCTGGCTGAGGTGGTAAAACTCTTGTCAGTTGCACGTAATTACTTTTGCACCACCGAAGTAGAACCCAGTATTTGGAAACAGTCATTGGCATTGGTTTTCTAAGTCCGGTTGACTGAAATGGCTACAGCATCTATATCTGGCACCAAGAAACCAACGCGGAAATTATCCCGAGCAAGGCGGATGTTGGCCCGAACTGACCAAAGCCCGACAAAGTGGTTCCCGCCGATAGATCCACATTCGACTGTTGGTTGGTTGTGACTCACAATTTGGGGTGTTAATGCACGGTTGGGGAAGTCTCTCTTAACTAACCATGAACTCCGTACCTGTGTTGACGGAGAGGGGTCCGCCCCAACCACATTCATCGCAGCATTTTGCTCCTCTCATTTACATGTCAGAAGTAGTTCTAAAACGCAGGCTCCAAGCCAATTGAAAGCTATGGCATCTGCTATCATGGATCACCCCGTGGTGGGCTTGTTGAAGTCGCTCATGTCAATCGTGAGCACCAGCGAACTTGAGGAAAGCATTGGTGTCTTCCTAGAACATCATCTTCATTCGCTAGGATACACTGTCGAGCGAATACCCATTTCACCAGAATCGTCTCGCCATAATGTCTACGCATACCTTGGCTCTTCGCGCAAGACACGGGTACTTCTCACAGCCCATATGGACACTGTACCACCGCATATTCCGCTAACGATCGACGGGGATATCATCCGGGGAAGAGGCTCGTCCGACGACCTTGGCCCGTTGGCAGCCGAGATCTTAGCTGCAGAAGAACTGAGAAAGGAAGCCAAGATACAGGAGGAAGGAGATATTGCCTTGTTGTTTGTTGTCGGTGAAGAAAACGGCGGTCACGGAATGATCGCTGCGAATGACATGGGCTTAAAGTGGGAATCTGGCATCTTTGCTGAACCGACTGAGAGCAAACTTGCAAAAGGTCACAAGGGGCAGGTGGCATTTGAAGTGATCGCCAACGGCGTCGCTTGGTAAGTCAACCCTTCTCAACCGCGAAGAGATCGTATTCGTCCAAAAGCACTACTAAAGCCAAGATGTAGTCACTCTGGATACCCCCATCTCGGCAAAAGCGCAACTTCTGCATTGCTGGCGGTGTTGAATGACCTCTCCGCAGCAACTTGGCCCGAATCCGACCTCCTCGGCCCTTCCACCTTCAACATCGGAACTATCGAGGGAGGCGAGAAACATAACATCGTCGCCCCGTCAGCCAAGGCACTATGCGAGGTTCGCATGGTTTCCGACCTGCCCGGCATCAAAGCCAAGGTTGCCGAGATCGTTTCACGACACCCAGACGTGGAGTTGAAGTTTGTTTTTGAGTACCCCGAAGCGCTACTGCAGTGGGAGATTGACGGCTTTGATGCGGCTCCCGTGGCTTTCGGGACTGACGTACCTCGACTCAAGGCGGAGTACTGCGACAACAGGGTGCTGTACGGTCCAGGAACTATCCTGGTAGCTCACGGGCCCGACGAGTTCATCCGTGTGCCGGAGTTGATTGAAAGCATAGAGGGATACAAAAAGTTGGTGCTTCACTTTCTCAAGTAGGAAAATTGAAGGCCGAAACATTACTCCTGAGGCGTGTGGGGTAACGTGAGACAATGTTGTCGGTTGACTGTGGAACACAGGGGGGAAGGTTTGATACTCGCGATGTGCTCGTATTGACAGCCGAGTGGGATGTGACCGGGGTGTTCGTCTCAACTGTACCCTGACATCGTCTCATCTCGACCAAAAGAATTGATCGCTCCTTTTAAGCTTGAATTGCCCAAAGTCACATTAAAAGCGCGACGGGCCTTTCATCTTTGGAATATTGTCTCGTCACTTCCTGCAAGCGGGCTTTTCATTTCACAAACAAAAACATTTCATCGCTCCTGGCTGGCCAGATCTAAGCATACCAGTACCTTACATCACAACACACTCATTCAACTTGGTAATTCTTGCAGCTCTCAAAGCACCACCTCCAAGATGAAGTTCTCCCTTATCATCGTTGCTCTCAGCAGCTTCATGGCATCTGCCATTGCTGCACCGGCCAAAAGCGTTCCGGCCAAGGATAATAGCGGAGGCAGAGTCGTACTTGATGGTGCTCAGTGCAGTCCCGTTCAGGGACGTTTAGTGTGTGATGATGGTTTCGGCAACACATTGTAAGAACATCGACCCACTAGACGAGAAGTGCCTTTGAACTTTCCTCTAACCACCTTATTTCCATCAGCTTCGCGGACGACCCTTTCTCGTCATAGTGCACAATAACCAGGCAGCAAACATGTTTTCCAACGGGCACTCATTACCTGCAATCCCACGGACACGCTCTTCGCGCGCCGATTTGGGATACTGAAATCCTAGCTTCCCCGCAGGATGAGCTCATGGAGTGGTAGCGCCAACAATTAGTGCCACGGCAGTGGTGGTTAGCGACTAAATACAGGCAATTAAGCGAGTGTCCGCATGCGAACTCTGGAGAATTGCGAGTCGAGGAATGAGAAAATTGACCACTCACGCTGAATTTTGGCGCTTTGCAATCCTCAAGGTGATGTGAACAGACGTGGATGCATGCGTCATGGATCCAATGGGTCACGAAGTCTCCGAGGTGAGGGAGTGCATATAAGCAATAGTCATTTTGATTTACTGCCCCAAAACGCGTTGCGCCCCGTGAGCTCTCACTTGAGAACAGCAGCAGGTCTAGTTCAAGCTTTCAGCAGCCATGATTTCTCTCAAGTTGACATTGGTCGCAACTCTGGCTAGTCTTTTTTCAGCGAGAGCACAGAACCTCATCTTTGATTCTGGACGAAGTGGTCCGTCCCTCGAAGTCGTTCATCTGTACAACGACCAGTGGCCCACGGGTAATGTCACAAAGTCAAGAAAACTCGCGCGTTACGCTCATATACTTGAATAGGCGTTGCCGTATCGTCAACTGGACGGAGATTTTCAAATTACCCCGGTGGTCTGGACCCAAATAACACAAATGATGGTACCAACGGCAAGTACACGGTTGCCGAGCTCTTTGAAAACAATATCGAGAAGCCGTACCCAAGTGCTGAGTTCAACAATCCACCTGGCGGCGCAATCAACTTCACCACTACTCCTCCAACGGGCGCGAACTACAAGAACTACCTGATTGGTGTTCAAAGCGTGGTCATTGACAGTGCGGATCGTCTTTGGATTCTAGATACTGGCAGGGTCTTGACACCTCAGGGCGTTCTCGTCCCTGCCAGCGTCGGTGGCGCAAAGCTAGTCGGTGTCAATCTGACCACAAATTCGGTCATCAAAACTATCGTCTTTCCCAATACTGTCGCCTACCCGGATACATACCTGAACGACGTGCGATTTGACCTGGATCCTAGTCTAACCAGCAGCGGGGAAGGTGTTGCTTACATCACGGACTCTTCGAGCGAGGGCCGGACAGGCTTGATCGTTGTCGATCTCGGATCTGGTGCATCCTGGAGGCACCTTGACGGAAGTCCTTACGTGCAAGGCGACCGACAGTTTCTCGCATTTGTCTGGGGCCGTGAGCTCTACGCGAACCAGGCAGGCAATCGAGCCGGTCATTTGACCTTTGGTGCTGATGGAATCGCTCTCGGCAAAGATGGCAAGACGTTGTACTTTGGTGGCGTTGGCAACCGATACCTGTACAGTATCCCCACGGAACGTCTACGAGACAATGGTCCAACATCAGAGATACGAGCTCAAGCAGCAGTTGTGACGGAGAGTCAGAGGGGTCTTTCTGACGGCTTTGAGACGGACACGAATGGATTCATTTACCACGGGAATTTCGAGCAAAACGCAATCAACTTCTTCAACCCCGAGAATGGGACTGATCAGGTATTTTTGCGAGATCCGAGAATCAACTGGGCCGACACGGTAAGCTCCAGCTGTTTCTAAATTCCATCATGGACATATTTGGTTGACTGAGGCGGAATTCAAGTTCTCTGTTGCCACAGATGGCTATATCTACTTCACAAACAATCAGCTGGCATTCGGCCCGGCGGTCTATCCCGGGACAGACACAAGACAGCGTCCTTTTGGGTTGCTGAGGGCTAAACTTCCGAACAATGGCACCAAGGTTGGGTCTAAGATGTAGATGAAGATGAACTAGTTATGGAAAATGTGAGTAGGGGCGAAGAATCCAGTGTTAGTATATCGAGCTTGGTCCCGGGCATGCATCAAAATTCAACCTAGTTGAGGCAATGTGTCGTGGCCAAGCGAGAAC